CCCCAAAACCCCAAAACCCCAAAACCCCAATTTTTGAAGAAAATATTGAAATTTAGACTTATAAAGAGATTTTATGAGGCCCCTAGGGGCTATGAAGGAGGGTTTTGGAGCTGGATTTTAGGAAACCAATTCTTGTTGGAGTGAAGGCGGATTATCTTGGACCTTAGAGAGCTCCTACCACTGGCAGAGAATTCAGAGCTTGATTTAGAGGAGTTATATATTTTAGTTTTTGGAAAAATCTGTATTTAGTGAAGAAAATTACAACTAGAGATTTTTGTGAGTTTGGTACTTTGGATGTATAGCTAAAATGGCTTAGTTTTGAAGAAGTTTTAACAGAGGTCTGGTTAATACTACGGAACATCTGTGTGAGAAGAGAAGGGTTTCTGTACTTTATCAACCCTTTCTTATCTTTCCTGATCCCTCTTAATGATCTCTTTAGATTAAGGTTCATAAAACTCCAATCAGATCCTGAAGTATCCGAACTTTGTACAGGTTTTTTAAACTTACTCTGCAACATTTCTGTCCTTTTCTTTAAAAAGATTTTGCCTTTATTTAGCAGGTATTAGCTTTTGGCAGTTTTCAAGAGGCTTAGTAGGACTTCGGCTTAGATTTTTCACTAAAAATGATTTATTCTTCCATGATTTATCACTTTTCTTAAGGCTGGCAATCCTAACTACAGATCTATATACCCTGTTATCTAGGCTAACCTACCTATTGGGTTGATCTTCCGCTGGCTCCTCCTCTATCTCACTGACCTCTTGAATAGCCTGGCTCTGCATGAAATTATACTTGGGAGGTGCCCTTTTGGCAACATTGATCTTAACAGGTTTGGAATCCTCCTTCTCATGTTGCTCATGCTGGGTTATATCAATGCTAGGTCTTCTTGGAGGCTTGGACTTGGTGAATGGGAAGGTTTATTACATTGTTCTTTAGATATGTCAAGGGACTGTTGGTAGTGAAATTGATATTTTGGGAAAGAGTGTTGTTAATTTATGCCAAAAAAGTTTTTAGATTTTTAATTTACCGTTTTTTAGAAATAAAGTTGTAAAAATTCAAAAAAATATGAAAAAAAATTATAAATTTGATATCTGACTAAATCAAGCACTATTCATATCAAGATCTGATTTATACCTTTTTCTCTCTCCTTATCTTCTTCAGGTGCACTTCCAACACTGGAAATTTCTCCTAAATCCCTTTCTATCCGCTCATTCTCCTCCTGTCCCACAAAATCAGACTTCAGTGACTCCGGCTTACTAGTGATCTCTTTCTTACTCTGTGTTTCTTTTGTCTCAATCATCATAGAAGGATCCTTGCTATCTCACCCTAATCATAATTCATACAAAACCTCTAAAATTTCTGAAAAAATAAAATGAAAAGAATTTTTGACTGTTAGAAGATCTCTCACTTTTGGTTAGGAACTTTGTCGTATTGTTCAGTGTGGAGATCCTATCACATTTGGGAATGGTATAGAGAGAAACCTTGGACTTAGTCCTCCGCTTGATAGTTTTATTAGTCTTAAAATTTTCAGAAAAAGAACATAATTCTAGCCTCCTCAGCATCCGATTTTCATCCCTTTTAATCCGAGCCTGGATTACACTATTGTCATAAGACAATGACCAAGCGAGGTTTTGATCTGAGAAAGTGTTAATATTAGAAATCTTGGTCCTAGAAATATTTTTTTCTGTCATAGTCTTGGTATTTAGCGCTATACAGTTAATAATAATTCTATGAGAAGCCAAGGCTCATTTTTAATATAAGAACTTTGTAAGGATCACTGTTGTTTAGATGTCGGCTGAAATACTTCTTAAATTATTGACCACTTCACCAATCCATAGCTTAAGAGTTATTGAGAAATAACAGATTATAAAGTGTGATTAAGATGACCCAACTGAAAACCCTAACAAACGTAAAAGCTACACATCAATAATAATTTTTACAAGGAGGTAGATCCATGATGGAAATATTAGAACTATACCTTTTGAAGTCATTCTCCCTGCTGGTGGAAGAAAGTTCTAAAGATAATGCCATTAGAGTACGATTCTTAGGTGCTCTCCCTGCTTACGGCCTTGCTAAATATGTAAATTAAGATCCTTACAGGACTTCGAGAGTATCCTCCTAGCTGTCTAGAGTCCATTAAGGTTCAATATTAGATTATATTTAAGGGGTTTTGGGGTTTTGGGGTTTTGGGGTTTTGGGG